CACAAAGAAAATTGGTGTCCTTAATAAAAAAAAGAGGAAAAATCCAACCTTTAAGGCATTAAGATCAATTTCCAAAAGATGATTTTTTTAATTCCTCTTTTTAGTCAACTTTAGAATGGGTGTGTTCACTTATGCTAAGCACTGTATATATATAAAAAAATCTGTCATTTCCTCACCCTCATGTTGTTCCAAACCTGTATGATTTTTTTTCTTCTGTGGAACACGAAGACGACATTTTGATGAATTTTTGATCTGTTTTTGTGAAATAATTTTCATCTTTGGGTGAATCTTTGGCCTATAGTTCTTTCACACACAAACATATTGATATCACTGAAAAGATCAGGCTCATTTGGCGATCGTGGGACACTAGAAGTCAAAGAGATTCAAGGGTTACTAGTTCAGTTTATGCACTGTATCTCAGAACAAATGCGAGAAGAAAACAGCCTCATCCTTGGGGACTATATCTAGGTTTTAAGCTTCTCTGTTTTTGCTTTGTTTTGTGTCTGCTTTCACTAAAAGGAGGGGGTTGAATCTCATGTGTTAGAAGACTACACTCATAAAAATAAAGGTTCTTTATTGGCATCTATGGAACCTTGCCACAAAAGGTTCTTTATAGTAAAAAAAGGTTCTTTAGATTATTGAAATGTATTTAACACTAAGACTGGTTCTTTAAAGAACTGTTCACTAAAAGGTTCTTTGGGGAACCAAAATGTTTTTTCTATGACATCGCTTTAAAAACCCACTTTTGAAACCTTTATATTTGTAGTGTAGATGCTAAGTATGTTTAAGTATATATATATATATATCACTCAAGCAACTGGTAATGCTTTTGTTGAATCAAGAGATTCTTTATAGTACTACTAATGTGCAGCCCAGGGGATTAAACATTTTACATTTTAAAAAGCTTCAAATTGAATTTGTATATCAAGTGGCTGTAAAACGAACAGAAATGAATGTCTGTGGGGTCTCGGGTGAAAGGCTTTTGCAAATTCACCCCTGTTGCATTGTCTGTAGAACTTTTCAGACCACTTTATAGATGGCCATGAGAAGTTGAAATCAAGCCTTTTTGTATCTAATTCGACCCAAGCTAATACCAGGAAATGAGAGTAAATTAATTCAGTCAAAAGGACATCTTCTGATCTCCTCACAGAAGTGCAAAAATCTGCTGGAAAATTAAACACGGATGAGTATTACTTTATCTCATGATGGAATATAATTGACAATATGAGCAGGTACACAGAGAACAGCAAACAAAAGTAAATAATTGAGCGCGTCTGAACCCGTGAACGCAGGAAATGAGAAAATGGGAAAAATATTCTGCCTAAATGGATTTGCATTTTCAGCTCAGCGCTCTTGTTCCCTAAATGCAGTATTTTATAGAGTCTGCAGAAGCTTTAATGAAGTCATTTGTGATTTGACAGGAATTGACATGGACATAGTATTTAACATGTTTAGTATCCTTCTTAAAATATATTAACCTCATTTATCAATACAATTAAAAATCTGTTAAGTCCTTTTCACATAACTCGCATCAGTGCTTGATCTCAACATAAGAGCATGCGCTGCTTTCACCTCCAAGTGAAAATTGTGTGAATATAGTCATGGAGGGGTTTAAGAGGTTGCAAGAAAGAAATATGATATGGTTTATTATAAATAAACCGTTTTATTATTAATAAAACATATACAGTATTGATAGCAAATGAACAAGTTAACATGCATTTGATCTTAGAAAAAAAGTCCAAGCAATTATTTTATTATTATAAAAGAAATATAAATAAAAAAGACATATCATATACATTTTATATATTTTAAATAAATGCATTATATTATAAAATATATTTTAAATAATATAACGAAATATAAAATATAGCTTTTGAGGTTGCTGTATAACAAATTTCTATGACAAAACCTCATGCAAATTGTCCTGTAATCATTGGCTGTGCTTTAAAAGGTCAGTGGCGAACAAGTTTGAGCATTGCATTGGAAGACGGTGTTGGGGATAATGCTGTAGACTTTAATGCATTAGACAAGGTTGATGCGAATCATGTGAAAAGACCTTTAGAATTCACAGGAGTCAACACATTTTACAGAATATCACATTTAAAAACATCATGCATAATTCGATGCATCATGCATTCAAAGCCAAAAAAGCAGGTTTCTGATTAGAGAGCGACTCCTCTTAAGCAATCCAAAAACGCACTTTCAAACGTAGATGACGTTAGATTCATGCAACGGTTTCAAACATATACTTGTTGACACACCACACAAGCAGATAGGGAAATAAATATGAAAACTCAAGGGAAGCCAGTGGCTGCTCCAGCTCAAGATCTTGCAACCTTAGAGAAGCAAACAACAAGCATGCGGGAAGCAATCGAACTCTAAACAGTCTCACTCTGAAGCCTGAGTTGCATGGCTAGTCCAAAGCATCTCTAATCCTTAGAAGAAAATTATGAACTATTTGAGACAAAAAGGGCAACAGATTTCTAGAAGAACTAAAATAGCTGAAGGGAATAATCTTAAAGTCAGAGCTCAGGCTTTACGAGACTCTAAACTAAACCCAGAGGGGGGAAATAAGGGAAGCTTTAGAACATAAGGTGAAGCATTAGTTTGAAAAAAAAACCAAAACCAAAAAAAAAAAACCCAGGCAGGTTAACAGAACACTACATCTCTCCAGTCAGAAGGGCCGGAGGACGAGAGGAAGGGGGCAAGGAAAAGGAGAGGGGGGCAGAGGGTTTTAGGAAGCGCATTATATGGATCTGAGCACCGTATGAGCCCACAGTTCTTTAGAAAATAACTAGCGTGTGTGTCGAGTCTGCATGTGTGAGGGCATGTGCTTGGTTGATATAAAGAGAATTTTCGGGGAAAACTGGATTTATTTTTGTGACCTTTGGTGATGGACATTATTACCTGGCACTGGCTACATGGGCGGCAGGCTGACTGTGACATTTACAAGTGAAACGCTTTAATGAGAAGGACGTCACTTTGCTCTTTTCGGGAGCAGAGCTCATATAAAGTCGATTAAAGCCGTTACCACACCTGCCTTTACTGAGAGGATTTTTTATTTATTTTTATTGGAGTCTTGTTTGGGTGTGTGATTGGATTGAAAATCAGCAGATTTTGCACTCCGTCTTTTTCCATTATCTTCCCACTTCCTCGATGTGAACACCTAAATGTCTTCCACCCAATTTCAACATGTTTCCATCCCTCGCTGACTCCCTAAACCTCAGTCTCTCTCTCTCTCGGTCTCTCTTCCTGCTGGGGTATTAATAGCCTCTCTGCAGGACCGAATACGTCTTCAGCCAGGAGTTCAGCCGGAGTTCATTGTCAGTTCATCTTCGACTGTGTTTTAATGAGTTTCAGAATCCGCCCACCCCCTCATGGCAGTCCGTCCTCTAACACTCACGCAAATTATCTAGGGGCCAGAGTTCCTGCCATGATAGCACTTATTCGAGTGTGTGAATGACCTGTGAGAAGGTGTGTTTAAAATAACATTAACGAGCGGCGTGGACTCGGCAGCAGCCACCTCAGAACAAATAGAGATTTAGTTTCGGCAGACATCATTATCACTTTACTTTTATATATATAGAGGGAGAGAGAGAGATTCAACCACGCATGCTTAAGTCAACACTACCTAAGTCCGTAGGAATGGAATGGATAGCTTGACTCTGACCCTGCTCGCTAAAACAAACCGTAATGATGCCGACTGAATAAAGGCAAAGATCGAATCATTAGCAAATGGCATTTTAACTAAGAGCTCGAATAACCGTCAATAATTCATTCCTTTCAATAATGCCAGGGAAGGAACCGCTTGAGCCAAATTTGCACAGTGAATGAACACTGGTAAACTGAAGCACTTTTCTAGAGGAATTAATTAAGCCACCCAAATACATACTATTAATGAGATTAATCTGTATATACATGACATAAATGTAATAACACAGCTTGCATCTGCACAAAATGAGAACTGACTTTCTGCATAAAATGCAAAAACGTTTGAATTAGTATACAGAATGTTTTAATAAAAATGTTTTTCATCAAACTAATATTTTTGTAGATTAAAATTAAATGCCATTGAATATGAAATTACTACATTTAAAGGATAATTTACCACTCTGCACCTCTCCCATACTCTGGTTTGGAATGCCAAAAACAGACTAGAAACTCTTGCTTAGAATGGAAGTAACGGTTGTATAATTTTTAATTAATCAGCATGACTAAATGCCACACTGAGGCAGGGTGTGAAAAACCATCAGCCCTCTGAGGTTCTGTGTGTATTCTATGTGTAACAAATTACCTCTCATCAACAGGTAATACAGAAGAAGAGGGTTGGGTTGGGAGGTGAAGAGAGGGAGATATAAGGTGAGTTGTGACTAAAGCACCGCGCCACTCCTGTCTGCGGGTTGTTTGATTGCACAAGCGTGCGACTGCTCTTGACCGAACGGCTGAATAGATTGCACGCTGAAAATTTCTATCAGGCGGAGTCTGCCCGCGGGTCTGTAGTAGCATTTTATTTATCGACTGCTGGTGCTTCTCATTACAGGCTGAGTGGATGATCATAACGGCAGGCGCAGGATATACGATCATTTTGCTGCATTCTCGCAAACTTCAGCCAGGGACACATGAGTGGAATCCAGGCAAAGTATCTTTGGTGATGTAGGGGAGACTTAAATGTATTAAAACTACAAAGACGACTGCAGACAATTCATTCCTTTTGTTTGTCTGGATGGAACAACAGGGAAGGTCGAATGCGATGAGCACGGACTAGCAGATTGCTTGACTCAAAGGGTTTTTTTTTAGGAAAGAGAATTTGTTTGTATCTCCAAGTCGGTGTGATTCTTTGTGATTCTTTTACGTTTGTTTCTTTGTGAGTATATTTTATGTTGTGTGCAGCTGTGGGGTCATGCAGAGGAATCCAATACAGCGCTAGAAAAGTTGAAACTTGGGATAAAGGGAAGCTAGAAGACAGACAATGGGCCAAGGGCCTCTCCCCACCCCCTTACCCTCCATCTCCACACTGCCTGGCTCCAAGTCAGGAGAACCCTGCCCTCCCTGCCTCCCCTCCTCGGGGTGGGTACCTGTCTCAGAGACACCATTGACTTTAGGCAGAGCTGGCCCCTGATTGGTTGTGCTGGCGCTTGTGGGTGAGGTCTTCCCTGTGGTTGTATTGGAAGGGGGTAACAAAGTTACTTATCAGAAGTATCCATAATATGCATTTTAAATCAGGAAAACATCCATTTAAATATATTTGTTCAGCATATTTCCATTTTGTATAATATCAATTATCAGGGATTATATCAATAATATCAGGGATTTTTTTTACCCAAAAATCAGTCATCAGTTACTCACTCTGTCATTATTCACAACCTGTACAATTTTGTTTACAATTTTGTTCACAAAAATATTCTGAAAAATGTCTTAGTGTTTTTTTTTTGTCCATGCAATGAAAGTCGATGGGGTCCAATGTGATTGTTTTGGACCCCATTGACTTTCATTGTTATCGACAACAACACCTGAAACATTCTTCAAAATATGTTTTCATGTTCTACAGAAGAATTAACATCGTACAGGATTGGAACAACATGAGCAATGACAGAATTACGACATCATTTTCATTTTAGGGTTTAGTTTAAAGGAATATCTGAACTGTTTTTGTCTAAATAATGAAACTAAAACTATTAAGTAAAGTTTACGTTAATTGAAAAGGCTGAAATCAAATTAAATATGAATGTTAATAAATAAAATTAGAAATTCTGCCTTGACAACTATCTGAAGTATAATTACTAAAAATAAAATTAAAGATAAAAAGAAATATTAAAAACAAACTAATAAAAACGATAATACAAATATAATTTTTAAAAAAGCATAATACAAAAAAAAAAAAAAAAAAAAAAAAAATCAAAATATTACTAAAAACTACAATTGTATATAAATAGAACTAACAACATTTAACACTGACTTCCACTGAGTGGACAAAAAAAAGTAAAAAAAAAAATATCTTATTTTGCCTTCCACTGAAAAAAGAACACTATACAGATTTGTAATGACGTGAGGGTGAGTAAATGATGAACCAATTTTCATTTTTGCGTGAACCATCCCTTTAAATAGCTTAGTAAAAGATTTCAGAAGTTATAAAGTTAATATGAAGGGTGCTATAGAAATCACAGTACAAATCACGTAAAACATGAAAAAAACAAAACACATCTTCTTGCAGCAAAATCAATATTACATTTTCTTTGCTTTGTTGTGATACCACATGCATTTCAAACCCCAGAGCTGGCAGATTCGCAACTTGGAGGCATTTGATCCAAACTGAGCTAATCTCACAGAAGCCTCTTTTTGAACAGTTTCCCCTCCCTTTCCTCTTCTCCATCCATCTCCCACAATGCGCTGATCCTAAACACACTTGCGGGCCACATACTTTGTGGATATCCTCTAAAGTCTGATTCGGAGATTTAGCTCTCCTCATTCCCTGGTGCGTTTAAGTACCGGCGACCTTGCGGAGTTCTCTTTCTGAAAGACTCGCTGTCATTGGGCTCAGGCTCAGGCTGAGAAGCTCCATCACCGGACTAATGCTTAATGTTGCGGCACACAATACTCATCAGCAGCAGCCGGTTGACCGGGGCCAAATGCGGAGCCCATCCTCCGCCTCCCCACCTCTAAATAAAGCCTGTCATCTTGCCATCTGTGCCACACAGTGGCCGCTCATCAGGGGAGCTCGGGGCTGGCACACGGGATGCTTTTATTATCATTCCGTTTCCATTCTATTTAAAGGGTGCCGGAAGAAAAGAGCTGTCGGAAAACAGTGGTGCATTGTTGGAATTTTTGTCCACCTTTCACAATGGGATGGCTTTATCACACAGTGGGAAGACGGCGAGAGTTCTGAGGATGTAATAACTCCTCTTGAATGCAGGTAGAGCTCTAATTACCATGCCAAGGTGCCATTTGAGGCTTTGTCTCAGCGTGAGGGGAGAAGCTGCACTGCCATGTCATTTCCAGTGGCTGGAAGAGGAGCTCTGGTGGCTGAATGAAGCAGTGGGGACGCTCATTGAATGTGTGCACCCCACTGTGTGCTCTTTCACACCACAGACAGAGAGGAGCACAGGGACACGCCATCCAGCATCCCACACATCCATGACATAACAGCCCAATGCCATGATGCCAACCACCCAATCTCTCTTTCTCTTTCCCATGATCTTTCTACCTTCCTTAATTTCTCTTTGATCTAATCTCACGTCCTTCATTTATCCCTTCTGTAAACTTTCTCTGTCCTTTCTTCCTTCTCTTAATGTCTCCATTCCTTTAAAATGTCTTTCCATTCTTTTTCTTTTTCTTAATCTCTCATACTTCCATTCTTGGACTTCCTTCCTTCTCATCTTATTCCTAATCTCCTTCCTTCCCCATTTCCCCTTCATTTCTTCTCTTAATCTCCCCTTCCTTCATTCATTTATCCTATCTTCCTTAATCTATTTGGTTTCACTTTCTTTTGATGGTCCCTTTAACACATTCAGTTGACTATAATTGATGTTGCACTTACATGTCTACTAACTCTCATTAGAATGTCAGTCGAGTATTAGTAGACTGGTAGGGTTAGAATAAGTTGGCATGTAGTTGCAAAGTTACTTATAGTCAGTAGAATGTTTGTGGGGGGGGGGGGGGGGGGGGGGTGGGGGGCGGGGGCAATTAATTCAATTAAAGTGTCAATTTAGTTGACACATAGGTGCAACATTACTTATAGTCAACAGAATGTTCAAAAGGGACCATCAAAATTAAGTCCTTCCTTCCTTACTTCCTTATTCAATATTCTTCTAATATCGAATCAAGGTCCCTAGGTATCCCTAGGATCCCTATCGCCTCTCTTCTATGGGGGGTAGATCATTTAGTGCTGTCAAACCCAAACTGGAATTCTCCCCCGCTCACTATGTTGCATTAATAATATTTCTGAATTGAAATTGAAACTCAAAACCCATTAGTTTTCTGGATGTTATCATTCTAAAGTAGTGTTCTAGAATCGATGTTGCTGTGTGCTACTTTGTCTATGTATTCCCTCTTTTACTGTCTTTGTATTATCCTTGCACTAATCTACTGTTTTGTAATATTCTCCTCCTCTGCTTGTAGTTTTGTTTGTTATTATTGTCTACCCTATTGCTGTTATCTTTTTCTGATTGTATCTACAATGTAAAGCATCCTTGAGCTATGGAGGGTGCTATATAAATAAAACTTATAACTATTATTATTGACCAACAGAAACAACATTTAAATAGTCACCAGGGAGTTATTCACCTCTCTCTACTGGACTACTTGCACTGAGCTTCGTGACACACTTCTGTTTTGAAATAGTACAACAACTTTATTTCCGCTTAAATATATATTTTCAATGTGCTGTAGTCACCTAGTTGACTAAACGCCACCTAAAATGATTGTTCGCAAGAATATTTAAGGACATTTTTCAGAGACAGGAGAAGAGACATTCTGATGACTACTGTGTAAAGAAATTTTCCAAACTCAACGGAACATGGAGTTTTAATCCAACCCAAGGTGACCTGATAAAGCGGCGGCTGTTAAACATACGTGATTATTTCACCATAGGGCATCAGTGCTCATCTAAACTGTAACATTTCAGCAGGTTCAAGAGAATTCATGTTAGCGATGTGAACAGGATTCATTGTTTGAATCAATTTACAGCCATGGGTTCTCATGTTTAGAACGCTGTTACCGGAAACTCCCGAGTTGTAATAACAAGTAGACCGCGGAAGTAGTTGTGCAAGTAGTCCATTGGCTGATGGATAGACTGTAGGCATCTTAGAAATATATTACTACTATAATCAGCTCTTATTCATAAGCTGGAGATTAGAACAGAACAAATCAGGTGACTTGGAAATGTTATTTACTGAAACTCATCTGTGCTACTAACCTCATGTGACTAATCCAGATGGTAATACAAGGATTTTGAGAAATATACTGGATATTTCTCCATGATCCACAGAGGATGGGGAGCTGTGATATGTGTGTGTGAGAGGCGCAGAGCGTATTGTATGTGGTACAATAGCTGAATGCTCTGACCCGGATCACACTGCATCCTCTGGCACGCTTTAGAAGCAAAATCAGACAACACCACCCAGGGATGTTAACACACTTTCACACACACACAGGCCAGCTGTCAGCTAGTATTAGCTCATGACTGGCTGAAATATAATACCGCACATTTCTATTTCTCTCTTCAACACTACACACAAGCGTGCTAGTATGCACACACACACACACACACACACACTTTCCCTCTCTCCTTTCAAAGCACACATTGCTCTTTCTCTCTCTCTCTCTCTCTCTCTCTCTCTCTCTCTCTCTCTCTCTCTCTCTCTCTCTCTCTCTCTCTCTCTCTCTCTCTCTCTCTCTCTCTCTCTCAAATCTTTCATACACATACTGTCTATCACAACATACACACCCTCTGTTTCTCTGTCTCTCTCACACACACAGACATCCCGTCCGTCACACATCCACTCAGTGAGAAAATTAATTTGTCAGATTGTGATTTTCAGTGGTTCCTCCAAAGCTCTTGCTCAGAGCTCTGTGATATGGCCCACAGCGCTGCAGGACATTTCTGTCTGCCGTCCAGATCTGCAGCCTCACTGCGGGTCATTTGTCTAACGGACTCTATTGATCTGGGAAACTAACGCCTCTCTGGGAGCTGTTGTAAGAGCTACTCAGAGGTCAGAACGGGACAGATTGAAGATTTATGCATGTGTGCGTGAAAGGCAAACTGTCGGATAAAAGACATGATGTAATATTCACACCAAGACACCAGTGACACAATGTAGAAAAAATAATAGCAATCTGTGAGCCTATTGTTGAATGCAAGGCCCAACTTTACTGAATATAATGGCTGGCCATAAAAATTTCTGATTTAAAATGGTCAATGGATATGAATATGACTGTGAGTATGGCTGGCCAATGGGTTATCATTTACTAAAGCAATTTGAATGTCTGAATTGAGATTAGGGAACTGACCGTACGCAGAGTCCACCGCAGGGTTCTGCTTGCGAGTTGTGGCCAAGACATCTACAGAAAGGATAAAAGAAGAATAAGATTGGCCCACAGTCAGCCTAATGAATTATAATAATTGGCAGAAGAATAGTTTTTTGTGATTTTTACTATTCTATTAATAAATCAAATTATTTATTGCACAATGTTGTCTTATAGTACCATATTGCATCCATCTCCATTTTGATGCATAAATACAATAAGCCATTTAATGCCAGACACTACAGTACTCTTACTACAGTTAAGGTTTTTGCAATTACAGCACAAGCATGTATGTTTTTTGTAATCACAGCACAAGAAGTTACACGATACATGAATCTAATATATACATTTCATCCCCAAGTTCTCATTATTGTAATGCGAACACAACAACAACAACCCTGTTTGTACATAATTATATTATATTATTCAAATGTTTGGTGTCTGTAAGGTTTTTTATTTTTTATTTATTTATTCTTTGATGAATCGTTTTAGAAAAAGATATAGCTTATGAGAAAATAATTTGTTTGAAATATAAACATTTTGTAACATTATAAACGTCTTTAGATTATTTTATATTATTAATTAAAATCAAGTAAATTATACTATATTTCAGCATTTAAATAATATATCATTTTTGAGAATGGGGAAAGGTGCTTAGTTGTCATATAAATAATTTAAAATAATTAAAAAATTTAAAAAATCCTGCACAGTTCAAAGAGGTTGCAAGATGCGACTTCTTATAGTCTCTTTCCTTTTTGAAATGTGAAACATGACCTAGACATGTTCTTGACATATTCCATACGATTCTCTCGGAAGGGTTCTAGAGTTCTGTGAGTATTCAGAACAATAGTGGAGTTGTAGCAGGAATGTGTAGGGATGTAATAATAGTGTGAATGAGTTATGGTCTCTGGGAGCAAGTCAACTCGGACTGTCTGAAACTCACCATGACAGCTGTCTGGGTACTGAGGATATCCACTCTCCACATACTGTTCAAATCCAGACCTGTGACAGAGACAGAGAGAGAAGAAGAGTGAGAAAGAGGACAAGGGAGTGACAATCATTCTTTTGTGAGCCTTTCCCTGAATGATCCTTCTAATTAGTTGTGCTGTCAGCAGTCTGTTGTTGCCTCTCCGAGCAACTGTAAAGGGAAATAACATGTTACAATATGATTGAGGATCGAGTGTCTGCCATGTACACTTCCTCTATTCCATGACTGACAGCCATGTTTTCATAAGACAAGAAACAAATGAAAATGTATTAGTAAGTAGTATGTAAACAAGAATTCTAAATTAAGCGCCAAATGAGAATACATTTTATAGGAACAGCAACATATTACTCAGTTTAAATCGCACTGTGTGCCTGAAAGTTGCAGATAAAGTGACATGCACAATTCATAAGTTTTATCATAAGTTTTGACCCCTACAGAACCCCATTTACATGAAATATTTCTGACATTAAGCCATTAAAATAAAATTGCAGAGGGGCATCTTCACAATATCACCATGTTTTTTGAATGACTCATCTTCAACATGATGCTGCAAAAATAACAATGAAGTGAAGTTTTCCACAAATATCGAAGTAATAATAGTGCAATAATCCTATTGTTTGTAATGGCAAAATATATTTGAATAAGAAAAATAAGGCTTCAATGCTGGTAAAAAAAAGAACAATATATTTAGAACATTTTCACACGTCATTTCAAATCATTACGCAAATATCAAGCCCCAATGTTATTAACAAATGCTGAATGAATTTAAACTGCACATATGTAATTAATGTGTTTACATGTCAAATTAACAGAACAAGCTACGGGAAGTTTTATTTATTCAAGCACACGAGTGGCAAAAAAATAAGAGCGCCTTCAGCTTTGACTATTTTATATGTACTGTAAGAACCTTTGTGTGAAGGAAATGAGTTTTTGGGTAAAACAGCATATTAAAGTCAAATTTGAATAGAAAATGTTTACAGAGAGGGACGTTGCTGACTCATACAGCCTAACAGCGTAACCAGGGTGACACGTTGCTCCGAGCGACTGCAATGTTCCACTGCTCCTAGCATCACAGAGCCGAGCGTGTCATTGCCGAGGCGAGCACCTGAATGACATCTCACACACAGACGCATAAAATGTTCTGACGCTTTTTGCCTCCTCTCAGTGTTACCATGGAGATGTGATCAGATCGGTGGGGCCGTGGTCTAATGAAGTATGCGATTCTGTATCCAAAAGTCCAAAATCAGGATTCTCAAACATCACTTGTTTTCAAGAGCACTTTTGCTTGTGGCATTTCAGCGCAAGAATGTGCATCTTATTCATTATGCACCATGGAATCAAGTTCAGGTGCTAATGCACTGACCTAATTATTAGTGCATAATTATAATCATTAATTTCAGGGCAAAGATGGCTTGATTTGAATTTAAATTAGATTTACTACAGGTTCACGAAAAGTGCTATTTGCCTGGTGCAATTAATTTTGCGCTATTGTGAAAACAAGACAGGTCCAAGGGAGTATTGGGGGTCTGCAGAAAAATATCTTATTTTTACTTTAGTACTGTAAAATTATTAAATAAGTGCAAATTAAGTTGTATATATTTGACCACTGAATTTAATCATCATATTTGGGGGTCATTGTCATCAAAATGTTTAACACAGACAGCTCATGCAAATAACTTTCTAATAATATTTTGTCTCACTTGATTTAATTTGAGTATATTTGATCTATCTGAGTGGAATCTACCTAACCTTGGAGCACAGGGTACAATGATGTCTGTTTAATGGGGTGTGGTATAATGCCCCTTTTTTACAAGATGTAAAATAATTCTCCGATGTCCCCAGAGTGTGTATGTGAAGTTTTAGCTCAAAATACCCCACAGATAAGTTTTTATAGCATGTTAAAATTGTCCCTTTTTGAGGGTGAGCAAAAACGCGCCGTTTTGTGTGTGTCCCTTTAAATGAAAATGAGCTGCTGCTCCCAGCACAGAGGGCGGAGCTTCAAGAGCTTGTGTGTGTTAGCAGCCTGCAGACACACGCTAAAATGTCAGAAACTGTTCTTCCTTTTATGTTCAAACCGAAGTCGGACAATGATGGAGAGACTCAAGAAGTGACAACATGTAGAATGCAACAGGACGTTTCTGAGGGTTTTGGACCATTAAGAACATCCTGAAAGTTGCATTGCTTAAAGCCCGGGATACACCAAGCCGACGTTAAAGAACTGACTGTGTTGTCGCCTCTCGTCGGCTGCGTCTCGGCCAAAAAGCTGTGCTTGAACACACCAAAAGGACGAAGGAGAAAAAGGTGTTTTGGGGGCAACGTGCAATAAACCAATCAGAGTCTCATCTCCCATTCTCTTTAAAAGCCAGTTGTCGCTATTTACATGGCGGAATTTGCAAGCGGAAAGACTGGGTGTGTCTCCAGAGTGGAAACGGATCTGCTCGTGCGCAAGGTTAAAGTGCGGAAGCAGACCATCTACGGGACAAGCCGGATTCCACCATATCTTTATGCACAGCACACAATAATAATCTTTTACATTGTAATATTTAATATTTGTGGTAGTTTGTGTACTGCTGTGCGTCCCTGTATGTGTAATAATCAGAGTGTACGCGCATTGTGCACCCGCCTATAGGCTCATATTACTAATGCACCCTTTAAATAACAAAAAAAAAATACTTCGTCATTGACTTCAGACCAGGTTCTTGTTGGTCAATGGCACAGTCTATTTCAGTTGCCTCAAAATAGCAATGCATTGAAAGTGGGCATTGATACGGTTTTCTATGAAATGATGTTATCCAATCATAACAGTGGCCTTAAAGGAGCAGTCCCTTAAAAAAACCTTATAATTTCAGGCAGTGAAAAATGATCATTTTTCTGCATATATATTTGCCTTTTTGTGCAAAAATCTTTTTTTAACATTATAAGTGAACCCCAAAGAACATAAAAAAGCAATGTCATGACCCCTTAAAAATGCTTCGGAGAAAAAACACACTCGCATACAAACAACTTATCATCTAATGCTGGCACCCCATTTCAGCCCCTGCCGTTCTCCTGCCTCGCCCTGCCCTGCATATTCAATCTATCTGTGAATCAGCCCTCTCTACCTGACATGATTTAAAGTCCTTATTTCCATTAACCTGAGAGGGGAGAGAGTGACAGAACGAGAGGGAAGGAAAGGGAGCGGGGATGACTTCATCTCATATTGAAGGATAAATAGAAGGACAAGATAAAAAAAATCTCCTGCATAAAGTGGTAAATTGGGATCTTGCAGGTGCATAATATCTGAACATCAATATGCCTCAGAGATGCATGCTTTTCATTATACCTGAATTGGCCAACACACTTGCACACACACACATTAGCACAAACACGCTCTCTCATCATATGGAGATTAAATTGCCCCTGGGAGAGAGCGAATAGGGAAAAGGAGAACACAAAGAGAAAATATCCCACAAGATAATAAAGTCATATTTTTCTTCATATTCTTCTACCCGCAGTACACCCCAAAAAAAACCAGCCGCAGAGCTATTTTAAAAACGAGAAAGCCAAAGTATTACCATCGTACATCTATTGCCCTCTTTTCTTACATTTCATCCTCTCAGTCTAGCAGAATTTCATTAGATTACATTGATTAGCATTTAAATGCATAGTTCGCTCTGGAGCTACATTTTCTCTTGTCTTGTTCTACTTCTCTCAAGTCTCACGTTGCTTGACTTAAACTCAGCATTACGGGTTTTTTTGCAGCTTATTCAGGGCAAAAGCCCAATGGAGAGAGACCATGTGACTAACATGACTAGTTTATTTTAATGTGATGTGTGCACACTGACTCCTGAAAATGACTACAGCCGATCAGTTTAGACCTGTTGATTTCAGCCATATATTGCACTTTCATGTGGCAGCTCAAGTTAAATAACATGGTGAAATCAGAAAAAAAAACAAAAAAACTAAATGCATCCTCACTACAAATCAATTATTTGGGATGTGAAAACAAGACTCCTTGTGCCAAAAATAGCTCTTTACCAACTAAACAGTGATGAACAATAGCCCATTTACACTATCAATGAAAAGGTTGGGGTCAGTAAGATTTTTTGTATGTTTTTGATAAGTCTCTTATGCTCACCAAGGTGTGATACATTTTTGGCACAAAAATACAGTGAAAACCGTTATATTGTGAAAAACTATTACAATTTAAAATAACTGTTTTCTATTTTAATATATTTTAAAACGTAATTTATTCCTGTGAATGTTCAGCATCATTACTCCAGTCTTCAGTGTCACATGACCCTTCAGAAATCATTCTAATATGCTGATTTGGTGATTAAGAAACATTTCTTCTTATTATCAATGTTGATAACAGTTTTGCCGCTTAATGTGTTATATATATTCAGGATTTTTGATCAATAGACAGTTTAAAAGAACATTTATTTGAAATGGAAATCTTTTGTAACATTATAAATGTTCTTTTACTGTCACTTATTCTCGCTGAATTAAAGTATTAATTTCTTTCAAGAAACACAAATACTGCCAAACAAACTTATAAATGGTAGTGGTAGTGTATTTTATTTCTATATTGTGTAATTCAATTCTACCATTTGGTTTGTAATTGATGTGATTTATTGTATTTTTAAGATATTACTGACACACGTTAAAACGCTGTTATTCCATCTACATTAGTTTTATATTTTCAGTGCTGCTGCTTTTGGTTTCTACAACAAAACCCAAAATTCTAGATTCTAGCCAAGATTCTAGAGCTCTTTATAATTCTAATGCGCTCTATGATTATAGAAGACTGTATGGCATCTGACAGCAGAAGATGTATGACTCTGACATAAGTTTGGCTCTGGAAGCATATAATTGAATGCTGGAGTAAACCAAAGCTCTTTTGGGACACTGATAAGTACTCTCACAAGTTCTGTCCATTTTGCTGGCTGCGGTCTGGAAATCTGCTGTGTACGTAACAATGTTCATGAGTTCAAGATGAAATGATTCCCCATCTCTGTTTATAGAGATCAATACTCACATTAGGACACAATAAGAGCCAATAATCAAGTTTATGGTCAGAAAATATAATTAAACACTTAATTAAAATGACTTTGATCTACACTCATTATAACACACACAACGAATGAACTTCTGCTTGACAATTGGAGAGGCAGTATTACTGTAGATACATCCCTGAGAGCTAATATTTCATAAAATGGTGAGTATGTCAACATGACCTTTCAGCTAGAGATCTTTGCAACTGCTAAATAACATACATGAATTAGTATCTCAGCGGCTCAAATGGTAGAGCATGGTGCTAGCAAACCAGAATCATTGGTTTGATTCTGCTAAAAAAAAATTATACCTCGAATGAAATGTAAGTCACTTTTAATTAAAGTGCCTGGCAAAGGCATAACAATGTAAAATGTTAACGTTGTTAATGTCTGTAATATATTCATAGAGAGATGCCTGAATTCATCAGGGCTGTTGCACAGTGGTAAGTACATCATATGCTTATGACATTAAAGAGCAGTGAATACACAAAGATGCAGGTTAAAATAGGACGTATGATGTCCTATTGCCTCTCTGTCTGTCCAGTTTCTTGTCTATTCTCTACTGTCGTAAACTATAAAAAGCTAACGCTCCTCAATAAAACAGTATTTAAAAAAATATCTGGCATCTAAGTTGCATGGGCTTGTGGTATTTACTTGTGGACATTACTTACACAAATATTTGTAAATGTTAATGTGCTATTATAACCGTTTTTATGTCTCATAAACAGGTGTGTTTTTCTTTTTCATATAGTTTATCTGAGATATCTGCTCATATATCTGGTCTGAAGCACCAGATTAAAATAACAACAGACAAAAGACATAAATAAGAGTACGTGATGCCATTGCAAACAGAGATTTACTGTAAAATGGCTATGAGAATTTCTTTTTTTTGTTGCCTTTATTGGCACAGGATGTGGACCGTGTAGATAATTGACAGGAAGCAAAGTAGGAGAGAGAGGGGGACGGGATCGGGAAAGGACCACAAGCCGGGACACAAACTCAGGTTACCCGAAGCACAACTGTGCCACACCTCGAAGATGCTGCCCACAAGGCTATTGGCTCCTAAACTACCAGTTTACTATAATTTTAACAAGATGGTAGAAGTAATTCACACTAAACATCACTAAAATGATTGAGTAACATTTAACAATAAGGTTAAATGCAGTTATATGCATTTTTTTTAAATGCAAAAAGAAAAAAAATCTTAACTCCAAATTTTAGAATGTTAGTGAACATTGACATAATTATGTTAATTTATACAACTTGAAATGTTAAGAATGTATTAGCATATGTTAACACTTAAAAATAAACATTAACTGAGATTAATGAATGCTGTAAAAGTATTGTTAACTGTTTGACACCTAAATGCCTTATATAATGTAATCAAATCAATACTTTGTTGTAAATGTTAACCAGAATGCTAAATCAATTTACTGTAAAACTACTTTTAAAGGTTAAGTCATCCTGGTCATTGTATAGACTGTCTAGAAAAAAATCTGCAACCGCACTTGGTTATAAATTTTGAAAACATTTTATGGCCATCTGATTTTTACCAGATGTTTTAAGTATGTTTAGAGTAACGTAAGCCCTAACAGACCTTTAACAATGATGCACGCTATAGACACAGATTTGTCGATTGCACAGACAGCTTGTGTACAGAATTCAGTAGCTGTGTAGGCTCTTTTATTCTAATGAACCGTAAAAGTGTTTACTGTGGCAAGACTAATAGAAGGGTCGCGTGATGTAGCTTTAACTCACTTGAATCCCGGCGCCACTGTGGCACAGTTCCCCGCACTCAGCCAGATGCAGTAGGGGTCTCGCGAGGACAGACAGCTCCTAAAACACACACACATACAGAGTTAACTCGTACCACATGTCCTGGAAAGGTTGTGTGTTTTCCTCGCTCACTGTCTCCTGACTCCCTCCAATTTCCCTTTCCCCTCTCTCTCTCTCTCCAAGTGTATGTGACAAGCTGGAAGGGACAGCCAGACACGGCATCTCCATAACAAAGCATTAATGCCTCTCGCTGGTCAGACAGTCAGTCAGACTCAGAAAAAAGAGAGAGAGAGAGAGAGAGAGAGGAAAAAAGTGACTGACTGCTGTAGAGTCAGGTGTGTGTGTGTGTTTGTGTATTTGTGTTGCATGATTGACAGGTGTGTTGTGTTTGCCAGAGGCCAACTGAGATTCAGATACATGGCAAAGCTAGCGAGTTGCACCAATAAGCAGTGAGAGAGACAGATGGAAAGAGAGCGAAAGACAGGGAACAAAAGGACAAAAAGCATGTGTGAGGTGACTAGATGTGAGTCAGAGTGAAAGGGAGAGGTCACTTCCACTTTTATGCTATTTCTTTCCTCTTCACAGGTTGTTAATTTCTCCATGCTATGCCTGTTGGTCTCTGTTCTTTAACAAATGAACTATTGTTAAATGTTAGATGTGTTAAAATGGTAAAATACTTTCTCTTATTCCAGAGAGTTGGTGGCTTTAGTCTGTCTATAAGGGTTAAAGACATATGCTCATGACCTACTAAAAGTTGACAACAGTTTTACTGTTTAGTGCACTTTGTTATACTTTATTTACATCGGCAAATCATGTATTTTACATTCATAGGAAATAGCTTACTTCCGCATTTAAAAAAAGGTGGATAATAAATAATTTAATTGATATACATGTTGAAAATTCACAGACTTTCTCTTCAGGTAGAACTGAGAAAAAATATTGATGACTTATCCTGCACTACACAGATTTTTGTCTAATCAAATGTTTTCTAGAATGACAATATCCCACCCCCCGATACCACCTGCAACCAACTAGCAAGTAGCATTAGTTAGCTAACTAATTCCTATTGGCTTTTAAAAAATAAACTCACAGGCCCTTTGATATGTCCCACCCAAACTTTCAGTTTCAACAGGAAATACGTCAGAATAAGGACTACGATTTTCTTTCAAAGTACATAAACAACTATAAGAAACCTATTTGTGTATACAAATTTATGCGATTTTTGGGATATCCATTACAAAAAAAATGCTGGATGTAAACTCCAAAATGCACATGAATTAAAAAAATTGGCATAAAAAACATATGTGCTCAATTGATTTGGATACATTCTTTATCCGATAAGAAGACATAAGTGCTTAAATGACAATGGAAACGCATTTACTGAATAAATCACTCGATGCGCAACAGAAATACTGTGCCTTTGCCTCAGAGGATGTGATTGGATAACTGGACTAACCAGTAGATCAGTTTCATTGTCCAGCATGTCAAATCTTAGTTATTTTCAAATGCCTGAGCCAAAGTCTGTCATCAAAATGATCTGGTGGATTGACCTCACAGAACTCTCACATAATTGTGTTCACAAACATCAGGCGTCCGAACCAAGATAACATGACAGCGTTTATTGCGTTTCGTCCGCGCGCTCTGAGGCACAAGTTATTTATGATGTAGAATAAAAGAGCCACAGTGGCTTCCCGATTGCAGCAATTTCCTTTTTTTATTAAAGATATTTTGCGCCAGTTTCCTAGGAAGTGACGATTTTTGTTCTCTTGAACACATGGAATGTAAACGGTGCTTTATTCGCAAATGTTTGATGTGATAATCCAATTTTATGCAAAGCTAAATTCACAATTTTGGATGGAAACATAGCTATAGAAACATGGCGACCAGTCTGAAATGGCCTAACAGTGTCTCAACCAATGGTGTGATTTTGGGGTGGAGTTATTTGCTTGACCAACCAATGGAAGATATATCAGGGAAACCTGGTTGATACCAACCTGATTTTATTGCAATTCTCTTTGACCAGGTTTTTAAACCTTTTTGAATTTAAACAAGCACAGCTGTTTTTGCAACCAGCAATCGGCGTGTGTGAAAACAATTCAGCGAAAGAAAAAACAGAAAAAAAAAGAGAGAGATGTTTTCTCACAAGTCCACAGAGAATCCCGTGTGAGTGTTTCTCCTGAGGCTAAGCAGGCATGAGCTAACAGATTGGTAAAAAGTTAAGACACGGCTGGATCAGACATCAGGATTGTTTTTGGAAAGAAATTGGGACTGAAATTCCCTGATAGGATTTGGAGATCTTTTTAAAAGGGGAAACAGTCTATCAGCTTGCTTATACTACAGCTGTGTGAAAAAAAGAGGAATTGTTTGCTGTGTCTTGGCCTGCAGCCAATCAGATGGCTCTAATTTACGTGAGAGTAGTCAAAGCATGTGGTGATGCTGGCTGGAGGACTGCAGCATGCGAAGGAGGAAACACGTCTACATGCAAGCTAAAACCCTTTGCCCTCTAAAATGCATGTGTTTAAATTTCAATGCATTTATGAATGCATGTCTTTGGAAACACACACCGCTTTCACTGCACTTATGGAGAACGTTATCATCCATAATAGATCAAAAGAGAACTGGCACAGGACTTTTTAGAAGATTGTTTAGAAGACGACTGTCTAGATTTTTCTCTGAGGACTGAGCTACTGCACTGCATCGTCAATAGAGTTTGTAAATAATGTTGGCTCCATCTTCAATAAATGTCTTAAAATACTCTACCATAATAACCCTTATAAATGTACTTGTTTAAAACAGTACAAGTTACTTAAAGGTGTAGTACAAGATTGTATAAAGTGTTTTCACATGTAATGCATTTTAATGCGAATGATTGTGGGTCTGGTTTCCTTGTGCATTATCACTCACTTTTTGCAGTTGCTGTAGTCAGAACAGCGACTGAGAGGAACACGGATCACGCAACTTGAGAATGCCACAAACAGGGCATGATGGTCCTTGTCCAACTCCAATCCCAGAATCCTACGGTCCTCACCACGCACATTACATCTGAGGAGAGAAATGGTGGTTTGTGTTGGAATGTCATTTTAGTTATTAAAGAGGATCCAAAAGTACTATATATGTACATAAAACATAAATGCTAATAAAGGCTATGTTTGGAATTGCATACTACCATACTATTCCTACAAGAATGAAAAAGGGACATTTTCTGAATGCATGGAATACCTGGATTATCCAATACATAGGAGTCCATTAAGGAATCCATCAAGGAATGTAAGAGGCAGGGTTGTTATATTTAACTAAAACTAAAACCATTAAAAAAGTTATTACTTGAAATTAAATAAATGTTAATTGAAATAAAATAAGTTGTTTTATGTTAATTTATTTCAGCTAGTTGCCAAGCCAACATTTCCATTTTCATTAAGTTTAATTTGATGTACTAAAATGACTTAAACTAAACCTGAAATAAAAAAATGAATAAAATCTATATAAACATTATATTAAAAGTAATTTTGTTGTGGTTTTGTCACTTTTATTAGTTTTGTTTTTGTATTGAGTAGTCATATGGACTACTTTACATGACTATAGTGGTCATATGGACCACTTTGGAAAAATGATAGTCGTATACATTTTTTTTGTGCTTGAAATGTTCTCCTGGTCACAATATGCTTTCATTTTATGGAAAAGAACAGCTCAGTGATTCTTTAATATATCTTATTTTGTGTTCAAAAGGAGAATGAAAGTGGTTTTAAAGGAGGTTAGGATAAACCTTTCTCTCTAATGGAAGGAAAAAGAAGAAAAAAGAAAAACACAACATAGAAAGAAATCCAATATGTGTATCACACAGATGAGTCACTCCCATAGAGTTGATTGAATAAGGTCATGCCATAAAGGGTGACTGTAATCTTCCTTAGTATCTGTAATAATCTAAATAAATCCTTTGCATCATGTCAAGTGTCTTTCCCAAAGGCTAACTTTGACGCGAGGTGGGGTTTTCAAGGGGAAAATGAGTAATGCTGCCTGAAGATGTGGTCACATTTTGTTGTGGAACTTGTGAGTCTCAGCTGGAGTTGAGGCTTGTTGTCAGATACACAAGAGGAACACAAACATGGTTGAGATCCCAGGAGTACAATTACAGCTCCACACGTACCATCCACCCCATTTACTGGAGGAGAGATTCTCTCTTAATCAAACGCCTCTGTCGACATTGAGTTTGGGGTTATGTGTGTGCACGTTTATATTTGCCTGAGACCTGTCAATGAGTGTGAAGTGCATGAGAAGAGCGTAACAATGAAGATGTGTTTGTAAAGAACCTTCTAGGTGAAGATGTTTGCTCAGACAAGTGGCATTTTATTTTATCTGTTGCATGGTTTCTTTTGCTGGGCATCCCAAAAATCCCTTTAAGGCAAGTCAGTCTACTTGGCAGCCATCTTGGTTCATCTCTTATCTACTTGAATAAAGAAATCTCTGAAACCGTTTCAATAAAATATTTCAAATGATCAATAAAATCTGACAACAAGATTTTAAAATGTTCAACTCAATTCACACTAAAAACTTACTATTGACTCACTAAATTTTTTTTTTCAAGCTTGTCCATTTCATGTGTATTCTAATAAGCAAACTATCAAAATGCAGATCAGCATCAGTGCCATAACCTCGCGGGCAGTGATCTGACTGGCATATGGTACAGCAGCAAGTTTCTCAGCATCCTTAGTTCAATAAGTATTCCCATTCATTTCCCATTCAACTTAAAAAAAAAAAAAAAACTTGTTAAACAGTTATAAGCCATAAACCAAACCAACCAGTTACAAGGTGAATCCCTACATTACAAACATTGAAAAAATTTTTTCCTGAAAAATCAGGTACAAAATATGCATATGGCTTGATGGCTTCAGCAAAAGCATTCAGTTGATTAACAACCTCATACAGTAGGTCTGTCTTTAATGGTTTATAAGTAATCATCATTAGAAATCTATTTTCCCTTTGGAGAAAATGAATGGGAACCTTATTGTTGCACTTGAAGCCTATTGGTCCAAAACTCTACATAGTTGCATATTAAACAACAAATAGTATTTTTGCTTTCAGTGTGGGCAGACAAAATAATATCATTTTGTAACAAAAGAGTATGTGTTTAAGTGTGTGTGCATTATAACTCACTTGTTGGGGTTGTAAACATCTATGTCCTCCAAAACCTGCGTGCTGTAGGTGGAGTTTGGGTGTGTGCTGGCGAGAATTTTCAGGACTCGTCCGTTCTCTGAACCCAGAAACAAAACGGTGTAGTTCTTATACGGGCCAGCTGCCGTGTCCACCGCGATCTGGGTCAGCTTGAACCTACATCAGGAAACATAAGCTAATTAGTCAATAAAACAAAATCACAAACATGTCTTTAACAACACTAAATACTTATTTATTCTCCAGCACTAATAACAGTTTCCTTCTCTCTGGAGAAAGACATGCAGATGTTGAGAAAACAACTGGAGATGGAGGCAGATTATTAAAATAATGAGTCTAATTTTTATTGGAGCATGCGTTTTTGTGTGTGCATACCGGCTGGTGGTTCGTGTGAAGCAGGGTCGGTTGTTGACAGACGGTACGGCCTCGTCCATTAGTGGATAAGACTTAATGAATGTAAGAGTCTCATCAGGGAAATTTGTGGAGGACTTATAGCCAGCAGCAGGGCCATCACCAGCACAGGATCCCGGCCTAGAGAGACGGAGAGAGAGAGAAAGAAAACAATTGACTTCTACCTGCACAGACTTTCCTCACGAAGGCTCATTGAAATTATCTACAAAAACAGCTCACAGACATACAATTAACAAGAGCCATTCCAACCATCTGCCACTGTTAAATAAAAGCTGTTTTTAGAGTCCATCAGGCCGAACAAGCTGCTCTCAGAGCTCCAGAGAACAGGTCCAGGCATATCACGCAGAGCAAGATGAAAAGGAAGTCTTTGGCACTTGTGTGTGTGTGTGTGTGTGGTGTTTTAGGTTGAATTTGTTTTGTTAATATATTCTTTTGTGCAGTGCCTCATGTTACTTTAGGGATATCACCTTTATTTGATCAAAAATGCAGTTAAAACAGCAATACTGCAAAATATTACAATTGTTTTCAATTTTAAAATCTTTTAAAATGTAATTTATTCCTGTGATGGCAAAGCTGAATTTTCAGCATCATTACTCCAGACTTCAATTTCACAGAATCCTTCAAAAATCAAAGATTTGCTACTGAATCACTACATTATATATTATCAGCAACAAAGGGGTAACATTGTTGATTTTTAAAGTAATTACAACTCAAAGCTTCATTGTTAATAGAGAGAGACGCCGATCAGATTCAGGTAATTCACACACGCATCTCTCATATCTCTCTCTCTCTCTCTCGATAATTAATTCAAATAAATGCTAATTCATTCATTATTATAATTGCAGTCTATGTTCTTTCATTATTGAATGTTTACATGAATAGTTAATCGAGAACTTACAGCAGTATTTACCAAATGGAGCACTTTAAGAATACTTTCATTTTTTTATGTAATATATTTATAATCGATATTAAGGTATTTACAATATTTATATTAGTATTTAAATTTTAAGAAAAAAGAATGATCAACAGCATACTTTTTGCAGAGTTAAAAATGGTTTTGAGAAAGGTGAAATTGACTGATATTGGTGTCAAATGGATTGTTAGTATTGCGATAACCCTTTGTGACTCACCGGGGTTTGGGCACCACTTCATCAGGAACTGGCGTCCAGGCTGACTCGCTGTTTCGCTGCTCCTTAAACTTCCCATTAAACACTTTCTCTATGTCATCCATGTAGAATGCACATACAGCAGAACCGGTGATGCTGAGGAGAGAAAAACTCTGTTTGGGGTCCACTTATTTTATCTAAACAAACTCTTAATGCAACAAATAAATCATTCACAAAAAGACCAAATGGATTGGAGTTAAATAAATTTAGGGAGTCGTTGAAGTGTGTATGGAAATACAAAATGTATTGTGGTGGGACTGTGGTACCTGTTGGCTTGAGTGGTAAAGACACCTAGCACCGCAGGCCTGTGGTTGATCTGCATGACGTTGGTTAATGACTGAAGAACGTCAAAGTAGAAGAACGAATCACCTGGAACTGAACAGTTCAATCGCGCTTTCAGGAAAGAAGTCCAGTACCGCTCTAGAACCCGCGGAGAACCACCGTTATCATTCTTACACACGCGAGCGACTCGAGAGAACACCACCTGGTTTAAGTAAATGAGACATAAATAATGTAAGGATGTGTGTGACCTCTTTCAAACCTCTTCACTAGAAAAAAAGAAAAGAAAAAAGATGCACCGATTGCAATTTTCTTGGCCGATTCAGATTTATTTGCGTGACCTGCCGCTACAGATTTTTGCCGATTACGATTTTCTTTCTAAGAACTATAATTGACGGCATATACAAACAAAAATCTACTTTTCTTCAATGCAAAGTTTTACACAAGTAAAAAGTCAAAAATAAAATAACAACAGCACAAATAAATGCAACAGAAAAAAGTGAGCAATGAAATAAACACGGCTTTAAGTTTTTCAGGTGGGTATACAGTATATTCAGGTAAGAAATACTACAGAAATTAAAGTAATCAAATGTAAAATAAGTCTTCATTGTAAAAATTAAAGGCAGATTAATGCTTACGATTAAAGTTATAAAACGTATTCAGTCAAGAACAGAGAGTGATTTTCTCTGTCTTTTCTTCTTTTATTAACATGATAGACAGCAGCAGGAATATTAGGCTGCTGTCACTTTAAGAGTTTATGGACGGATCGAATATATTGTTACACAACAGGCGTTATCTTTCTAAACTATTTAACGTTCCAAAACTGACTGTTTAACACAGCCAAGACAGGCATTTTGACATAACTTTGTGTGTATTTGATCGGTCACTTCCCATCAGAGAGATGAGAGCAAGAAAACACAGCTGATGTTATTGCCTGTACCGCTCGCAACAAAACAGACCGGCTCGGAATCGGAAAGACCTGAGACTGACTAGCGGGTCACCGGTCCGGGTAGATCAGGCTTGATCCGGTCCCTGGCCTATGAATCGGTGCATCTCTAATATATATAGCTACATAAATTGCTTAAAACATGAATAAAAGAATTGAATAAACTTGATTAATGACATATACTATAATAATAATAATACTACAATAATCTTACTATCTTATGCAACTTTGCTTCAAGTATTTTTATTGTTTAAAGGACGTTTACATTTTTTCTTGGAAACCAATACAAACAAAGTGATTTAGAAAAAAAAATATTTTTGCAGTGTACTTGAAGTGTCTGACCTTGCCAAGGGTGGTGTACTCTACTGCGATCTCACTGAGAAAGAAGTAGACGTAGTTTCCATACTCAATGGCATGAAGGAAATGAGGCTCTACATAAAAAAAGACACTATTAGAAAAAGAACAGAAATTATAGAGAAAATAGCTACATAACAGGTGACCCACCTCTTAGCCATTTTGAGTCGTATTTTACGGTACGCAGAACAGGACTGCTTTCTCCTAAACTTCGGTAAATCACTGAATCACTTGCTAGAAAATCTGTCATTGTGGCTGAATAAAAGTCACCGCCTGGGAAGTGAGGTGAGAAATAAGTATTGATAAATCAAAACAACACAAAACCCGACAAAGCAGAGCTCAGTTCAGTTCAGTGTGTATATGGCACAAAGAGAAAATGAGACGCGTCTCATCTCCCCCATGTCCCTTTTAAATCTCTATGCGTCTGTGATCACTGCTGTCTCACTGAGACTTCCTGCACTTTGTAAAATGTCAGTGGAACACTAGTGAGATTATAGGAGATTTCGTGTCTTCCTCCCCAGACGGATGGTGCTCTGCCAGCTCACCGGCAAACAGGCCGACGTTAGACTGGCGTGATTCGAAAGGGCAACGGGCTTGACCGACCACCTCCTCTCCGTCCTGCTCCAGAGATGACATCTGACCAGAGAGAGAGAGAGAGAGAGAGAGAGAGAGAGAGAGAGAGAGAGAGAGAGAGAGAGAGAGAGAGAGAGAGAGAGAGAGAGAGAGAGAGAGAGAGAGAGAAAAGACCTCTTACACACACTGAGCAGATGAAGAACACTTCAAACACAGCACAAAAATAGTTTGAAAAACATCCATTCAAATCATTGTTGTTTTGGACCATATTGGCTTTCAATGTATGGGCAAAAACTAACTTTTTTAAAACATATTTTTTGTTATGCAGAGAGAAACTCATACAGGTTTGGCATGACACGAGAGGAAGTAAATTATCCTACCCCTTTAATATTGTTGTTTAATATTGTAAATTCTGATCATTCGAATCGAGAAAGATTAGTGCTGCATTGGTGAATCGTTTACAATTTAGTGCATGTTTTGAAAGCTGTTTTTGCTGTCAAAGACTTTTGGGAGCTTGAATTTGGTGTTGTATAAATGTTTGTGGACCAGTGGGTGGTGCGTGTTCCATGGTTGTTTTGTTTTGTTCCTCTTTGGGAACTGTAGGTGTGAACAGTGTGCCAGCTTCTCTTGTTAGTCAGAGGCAGAGCAGAAGCTTCCGACCTGTGGTGTTCACAGAAGAAAAAAAAACAGTGTGCTAACTGCCTGTGTTGGGTGATGCACACATACAGTACATGTGTACAAATCCACAAAGATATTCAACCTGCAGGGCTAGAGATGTCCTCACAAAGACGGCTGGATTACACACATGCACAAACACATTTAGCAATGTGGCTGAAAGGGTCCTGTGGGCATTCTGGTATTCAGGGTCACATTGTGTGTCATCCCCATCGGATTAACACCTACTGAACCTGCTGAAGCTCACCACAACTTACACTGCCATGTAGCTCATAGGGATAGAGAAGAATAGAGGGGAATTAAAGCAGAAGTAGCATGGGATTGGTTCTGTCAAAGGTTGACCATCTGTACACTTCTGTCCAGGGAAAGCGTGTCTGTTTGTTTTGGAACATTGGAAGAACTAGTAATTCAACTCGAACCTCCATTCGCAAGGACGACTTAAAACATGCACTAAATTGTAAACGATTCAGCAATGCATCACTAATCTTTCTCAAAAGATTTTGGATCGAATCAAATCGATTTCTCAGTGATACATTACTCATTTTGAGGTACATTATGAGATGTTGCAACTGTAATTCCTCAACATCAGCATTAAAGGACAAGTTCGGTATTTTACACTTAAAGCCCTGTTTTAAGATCGTTTCTGATGAAATAGAACGGTTAAGATTGAAATTTGGACACATGCTGCTGGCCCGAGAATTTTCGGTTTCTGTGGTTGCACCCCCCCCCCACCTCCACAATGGTTGCATAGGTGCACTGGAACAATCCTTCCTAAAACGCATTAAACTTTAGTTTACAAAGATGTGAAACTCACCGAGTGGTCAGGGGTGTTCACTGATATGCTCACACAAAAATCGCTGCAAAAGATGCTTTAGGTGGGGGGTGCAACCACAGAAACCGAAGATTCTCGGGCCAGCAGCATGTGTCCAAATTTCAATCTTAACCGTTCTATTTCATCAGAAACGATCTTAAAACGGGGCTTTAAGTGTAAAATACCGAACTTGTCCTTTAACAAGTGCATTGTCCATCAACAAACCGATGTGTATATTTCCAATTTATTGCGGTGCATATGTGGGAACTGTAACAATAACAGCGCATACATTAGACGAGCACTAACGTGAATGACTGATGTGACAAACGTTTGTAAAACAAATCTTGCTCCATCCTTTATTTGTACTCAAAGTAGTAAGAACGACAGATAATCTGCATTAATAGACACAGTTTTAGATAATAGTGTCCCACAGCTGCTTAGCAGAAGTATTTCAGTAAGACAGTAATAACGTGAGTTGGCCGGTTAGCCGGAGACCTACACAATGTAAAACACAAAACTACGTATTTTGAACACCCGGTAGAAAATGTATACATAAATAATTAGTCATACTTACAGGTTGTGATTCTGAGGAGCAAGTGGGTCCAAATAAACTGTCTTCTTTGGGAGACAATAACTTTATTTATTGTGCACTCTCGACTTTATAACTTTGCAGAACGTTAACAATCACAAACAGCTATATTACACACTGCATTAAAGGAAATATTCGAAAAACCATAATAGGGGCAATTTAAAGGGGACCTATTATGACCTTTTTCAAAGTCTTGATTTTGTTTTTGGGGTCTAATAGAATAGGTTTTCATGCTTGAATGTTCAAAAAACACATAATTTTTCACATATTTTACATTGTTGCAGCACCTCTCTTCCCAGTCTGTCAGTAACGCTCAAAAAAACGAAAAGTGCAATGTGCTCTGATTGGTCGGCTGGTCCAATGTGTTGGGTTTGGTAAACCCGCTTCCAGCATGTTTGGTAAATGTCACACCCCTTACCATAACCGCGAGTTCTAACACAATACTAACGCAACTCAAACAGGCCTCACCCCTAGTGGCTTCAATTCACCAAAGGACATGGTATGCCAAACTCTGATGATGTCATTCAATTTTACAACAGTCCCACATATTTTCATTAATTCCTGACAGTATCATACACGCTGGTGCAGCAACCATCCTCAAATATCACAACAAAGCACATCTATTCACACTTTAAATAATCTATTTAAGTGCAGATCATGACTTGTTCAAATATATATTTGAAGCCATTTGACAAACTGAATTGCATGACATTGAAATTCATGCAAAGGTAGAATGACAGCAGAGAGAAAAACAACTAAAATGCGGTTGGCATTTTGTGTGTGTGTGGCGCATCCAAAGATGAATCACATTTAACTTTGTTCATAATGCAGCAAATTAGACAGTTATATACAGCTGTTATAAAAATGAACTTAAAGTCCCCTCTGAATCGGATTATGTTGTATAGGTGTGGCTTGTTGTCTTTTTCATGACGTGGTATCTAGTGATACTTGTTTCCTTTTCATTTTATTTATTCAGTCGTTATCTATAGCTACTACATGTTCAGATAACTTCAAATCTGGCATGAAATGGCAGGGTAATAGCGTTGTTTCTGCACTTGCGTGATGCTGTTTGAGGAAGGTTCACAAAATCAGCCAGACAGCCACAATTGGTATGGCAGCAGCCATACCTTGCCATAAGCAATTGCCACCCAGCTCACCCCTTTTTTGTGCATGCCTAGGGCACAAATTATTTAAATGAGGAATATTGTGACATGTACGTTCCCGGAAGAAAACTCAAGACTACAATCGAGGCGTTTCAGAGGGTTCAGAAACAATGCTTACTGATATAGTGAATACCTCCTTATGGAGTGGACTTTTCAGACCTTTTCCATGCTCAAAGAACAATATTACACACTAAAGAACGTTGAAAATGTTATAATAAGACCTCATAATAAGCATAATAAGACCTCTTTAATAATAATAATAATAATACAACTATTAGTGTTTTAAACGAGCAACAGGTGACAGCAAAGGTAATCTGCATGTAACAATATGGGGAAGTGTTATATGGCGCTTTTCCACTGCATGGTACGGTACGGCACACTTGTGGCGCTTTTCCACTGCATGGTACGGTACGGTACGGCTCGCTTTAAGTGGTACCACCTCTGTCGAGGTGTAATAATCAGCCAATCATCTGAGCGTATTATTCAGTCACCTTACTTGAAGCAAAGTCACATGACATTTTTGACGCCCACCATTCTATTGCAGTTTATGTGCGCGTCTTCTTACCAAATAAATAATACTAGATGGAAACCCGGTTATAACCTATAACGGTCAGACTATAATCCCACCCACTTTGAAGCGGTACTAACTGCAGTGGAAAAGGCGCAAACCAAGCTAAAGCGAACCGAGCCGCGCCGCGCCGCGCCGAGTCGTACCACGGCACGCAGTGGAAAAGCGAAGCGAGCCGAACCGTGCCACGCCGAACCGTACTGAGCCGTACCAGCAGTGGAAAAGCACCAATAGTGAGAAAATGGTAAATTGAACTTTTCCAAAAGTCTCAAAATATTATAACAATCTAACTATAACAATCTCTCCTAAACCTCTCCTTGCACAGTTTTCCAGAAAGTTCTCCACAGCTCGAGCTGTGAGTTGAGAGTGAAGGAATGCGTGAGGAGACAAGGCAGAGGAACTGAGCGACATGATTTGCAAGACATGACATATTGTCCCTCTCCAGGGCTCTAACAGAACATCCCTCTCCTCGGTGAGATGCAGAAAAACGAGACCGTGAGCACGAGAAAATGGAGACAGACTGAGAGAGAAGCGGAGAGGAAGAGGAAAGAGAGGAATATGGAAGGAAGATGCCTTCAGGGCAAGGTGCATAAATCAAGATCTCCAAAGAGCCTCAAATGGAAAAGTTGAGAGCAGAGCCTCATCCGTGAGTTTTGCTGGCTCCCTGCTGGCCTCCTCAAGCACTTAGTCAGATTTACATGCTCTCTGGCAAACAAAAACACACATGCACACACACCGCTCAGGAACAGATCTGCTAATGTTGATGGAAAACCATCAATCGCAGGACAGGCCTGACTCCACATCACTAAACTAGTGATTTGTTGCAGTTTTTTGCAGGCACTGAATAAAATATTTTTTAAGTAGCAAAACATTGCTACTTAACAACTTCCCATGTGTTCAAAAGAACAAAAACGTTGCCTTCAGGAAACATTGATGATTGCCTACTACGTAAACTAGAAATGAAAATGTTGTATTCACTATATGGCTCTTTTATTAAATAATAAGTAATACATTTCTGGTTTTCATGTCAGATGGTTTTGGCAGCAATAGCAGCCAATCATCTGAGCGTATTATTCAGTCACCTTACTTGAAGCAAAGTCACATGACATTGTTGACGCCCACCATTCTATTGCAGTTTATGTGCGCGTCTTCTTACCAAATAAATAATACTAGTCAATTAACTGAGCGAAATAATAGCAGCCAATCATCTATGCGATCTAGGTATTTATACAGTAAATGCGCTTCTATTGTAGTTTACGCGCACACCAAATAAAACATTTATCCTCCTCAATTTTTTATGTGCATTTTAATGATTTTATTTATTGATGCTTCCATCCAGCATTTTGTCCCCCCAAATTTCCCAAAAATAAGTGGATGGAAACCCGGTTAACATGACTAAAATGTGTTAACATTGCTCATTGCAACTGCAGAAATTGTTTCGTTTAGCCAACAGACAGTGTTGATGGGAAAACGCAGACCTCTCTCACAGAAATAAAAATCAGGTTGTAAACCGGTGTGACAGGATATGAATTCATTTCTGAAAAAGAGCAGGATAGATACGTTTTTGAACAGGCCTAAAATTTAAATTAATTTTAATGCTGACAAATTTAAGTAGACTTGTGTATGTAGACCGTCAATTTTGATTATTTAAAGGGAAGCTTCAGAATACGCATCTGTAGGAGGAAATAACTGTGTGTAAGTGTGTGTGTGTGTGTGTGTGACAAAAATAGACTCATCATACCTTGTAGTTGCGACAGGTGGGGTTGAACGCATTGGTTCCACATGCAAAGAGAGTTTCATCGTTACGTGGCACCAGCACTTTGATGTAGTTGTAACACTCATCCTGTGAAAGACAAGACACTGGCTTTTACTCACACTATATATAACTCCTGAATTACACACACACACACACACAGAGATTGACTCATCCTGAAGCTTACAGCGAGCATCATTACTGACTCCCTTTTTCCTTCACTTCCACACACAAATTACCATAATCCCTATGCTGAGCTCCAGGATCTGACTCGCTCACTGCAACTCAGTCTTCAACCAACAATGATATTATGAAACCTGTGGGTGTTTACATTTCTTCATGTATACAGCCAACTGTGGAGAACCACTTAGTCTTAGCTTCAGAGCATTTACTGACCATCTGATGCGTACTGATCACAAAACTGGCAAGTGTCTTCTCGATCTGGTAAACTCTAAACTGATTGGCTGGATTGACAACTTTTAGGGATAAGGGCACTTTTTTTTTTTTTAGGGAAGCATTATATTAAAAATCTGGAGGATAAATCTTTTCATGTTGTGCACGATAATTGATAAATGGTCTATAGTAAAATTCTATACTATTTTCTCCAAATAAATTGAAAATAAAAAAAAAACTAATAAATCTATAAAAAAATCTAATAAATCATTTAAAATGTGAAAAGTGAGTGAACTTAGGCATCATAACATTATAATGTACAGTATGCAAAATTGATATTTTAAGATTTGCTAAAAATACATTAAACAGTTTGGAATATAAGTATTTTTAAAGATTAATTTGAGGTTAGATTAGATTACAAGTTAGTTAGATTACAACTAAGATGATCTAGAAGTAAAAATAGAGTAAATTAGAATTAAATATTTTAAATCATCCAATACAGATCCATTTAACCCTTGTGCATCAATTAAAAAAAGTTACACATAGCTACACAGAGGACAAAAATGTCCGTGTCAAAAAACTGTCATAAAAATGTGAAGCTTGGGAGCACAGACTTAAGTTTGGTATCATTTTAAAGAAGACCCTTGGCAGATTATTGCTGAAGTAAAAAAATAATAATAAGTAAATCAAAAAAAAGTTATATAGGTATAAGTTTATGAAAATTATTTATGAAAATTATTTTACATAAAACATATATTTTATAAATCAAGTGGAACTCTAAAACGGCAAGAAAATCAAAGCCATAAATCTAAATAAGTTGTGTTCCAAATTTGAGGTTGATATCTCAAAAAATGAGCTTTCGGTAAGAATTTGTTTGGGCGCAGTAACAGATTTCTCCCACTGGGTGCCAGCAAAACTCCACTGGTGTACACAGTGATTGGATTTGTTATTTGCAGTTGAGTTTTTCTCTCTCAATATTACAAACACACACATGCACACACACACGTATTTTTTTATAACACACATACTAACCACACTCTGACATCCATACCAACACACCCACACAAATATCGTTGCATAATTTATCGAATTGGCTCTATAATATGCCGAAGCAGAAAACAGGAATAAAGCGATATTTGTTTTATAGGCCAAACCTGGAAAAAAATGGCACCATCTGATAAAAAATAGTAAAAATGTAAATTTTGAAGCCTTGCCAACAGAATGAAAGCCTCTTAACAAAGATTGCATCATTTTATAGTTAAATGGCACTGGGATTAAAAATTGCAGTTTTAATGGGTTTCAATGGGGACATTTTTGTCCAAAAGACGCTGAGAGGGAAGTATTTTTTGGACCTAGTGCAAAAAAGATTTTTCAAAGGAAATGGAAGTGTAATAGTAAAATTACAATAAAAATACACACCTGTGCCAAATTTTATGCAGTTAGCATTAACACAGGCAAAGTGATGAAAAAAAAAAAAAACTGAAAAGGACAAAAATGTCCATAAGGATGCACAAGGGAAAAAATCTCTTAAGATAAAATGTAAAATTATTAAAAAATTTAATAAAAAAAATGTGATTAAAAATTTAAATAAAACAATATATTGTCAGTATCAATAAACATCCAAAGTTTATGTAATTGCTTTTTTGTATAGGTCTGTATATTTTGAGATGATTTGTTTTCAGTTATGTCATCAACATAATACTTAATTTTGGATAGGCAGAAATTCGGACTAGAAAAAAATCTATACATATTTTCCCAATATTTACTGCAGAGCCATTCAAATAGACTGGGCTATTTTAGAGAAATCCGCCTCAAATCGGCACAAAACTATAAAATAAAATGTGGATGTTAGTCAGATGTTCTCTTCCTGTCTATGTTCTTCCTGTTCTTTTTCAGAATAGGCTGCACTGTGGACCAGACCTGGCATTTAGATGAAGGTCTGTTTATGCCCGACTAATAACCACTAAATGCAACAGTTGCTGACTTCTATCACACAATTACATGGAGAAAGAGAAGGAGAAATAAAAGAGTTGTGTACTCACGCTGTTTTTCCCCCTGACTGTGCATTTCTCCACATCCTTTGTCTTCCATGTCAGTTTCTGCCACACAAACAAACAAACAATCACAGGCTCATCGCCATTCACAACAGCTTGAATGGGAAAATCTCATTTACTTCAATAAGCATCACACATAATAAACATAAAAAGGAGAAAAGAGAGAGAGACAAGCAGGTCTTGAGCAACCAGAAGGAAAAGAGAGATCCCTCAGGTTGTTAACAATTTGAGTGAGTGTGAGTGTGTGTGTGTGTGTGGGTGCTTGCTCGTGTCATTAGGTCAGGCTGTACTTTTTTTACAGAGATTTACTGGGCCGCCACATGTCTGCCCACCCATCAGGAACAGCAGGCAATCAACACCCACACACACATACCATGACAAGCTAAAAACAACACTCTCACTAACACAACTATTTGCTGCAGTGACATCTTACTCTCAACAGTTAAGATAATAATGTCAGCGAGACCCAAAGGACAAAAAAAGAAAAAAAGAAAGAGTTGAGCGATCTATGCATAAGCAGATTGCTTCATCAACATTATTACATTTGATATGACTGCTGTAAGTAATAACAACGTATGATGGAAAAACAAGATTTCCTTTGCTATTTAAAATAGAAAAATAATAAGTCTAACTAAATAACTCTAACATTCAGAACTCAAAACTGCCTCCTTAGTCGATGTTACAGCAAAAATGGGTCTTTCTAGGGAAAAAAACAGCCACTTACCTTGAATATGGATTACCTTAAAATAGGATTTTGTTCTTTACTTTAAAAAAAAACCTAAGAGAAAGAAGATGCTTAACTTTGAGAAATGTAGATCACGAACCTCAGGAGGTCATACTAAATAGTATATGACTGATTTTATTTTCTATTCATTTGGTATTAGGCCTGTGATTCACTATTATGGAAAATTTGTAAATGGGACATCTAAATACAGTTTAAAACCAGATTTTGTATTTTCGTTTTAGAAATAAATATTAAATAAACAAACTGATGACAGAGTTGTGGGACATTTAAATATTTTGTTTACAATTAGTAATTTTACGATCCAAATTATGATATTGCTGCATCATTTTTAATTGCCTGATACAGTCGAGAAGGTCAAGAGCTATACCGTGGGGCAGGCCAAAATAACAACTTTTATGAGATTTATTTTTGCCGTTTTTGCCTTTTTTAAGATAGGATAGTAGAGTAGACAGGAATTGAAGTGGGAGAAAGAGGGGGACGGGATGGGCAGAGGTCCGCGAGCCAGGACTCGCCTAAAGCGCAACATGTCGGAGTGCTGCCAATGAGTCGATTGGCCCCAACCAAAATACCAATTTTAACTGGGGGATACAGATAGCTAGTAATACTAGCTGAATTTTGTTATATTATAATTATTGTTATAAACTATTAATTATTGTTATATAATATTGTCATAATTATTGTATTTGTTATATGAAATTGCATCAAAAAAAAATAAAAAAAATAAAAAATCACGAAGCACAAAACGTAGCATATTTGTTGAAAGTGCCAACAGTCTACAGCAGTGTGCTACACATTTCAGTACAGGTTGCTTTGTGAACCACTCATAATATAGGCCTGTAAAGAGGTTTTTCAGTTAATGTTGTAACTCATTTCCCATGCAATGAGCTAAGCCAATCATAATAAAGGTCATTAGCATAAAGATCCCTACAGAATGTAGAGTGGCATAAACAGCCTATTTAATTCCAAGTGTCACACTGAGGGTGGAAAATGGTTGTGCAAAACTAAAATTACAGCTGTTTTTTGTGTAAGAGACCTTGACTAACATTTCAAGTGGACCTCAGGGAAAAATAGACATAAGAGTGTAGAATATGCGTCCTTTAAAGCCACCATAAAGAGAATTGCTCATTTGAAAAATGGGATTTCTAAATGGTCCTTCCCCAAAGACGAATAAAAGTGAATATTCTACTTTACGCTCTCACATCACTGATCTAAGAGAAAGAAAAACATTAGAGATGACTGAAACAGAAAGTTGAGAAAAAGGTGAGCTTACCTGTTGGGGAACGATACGCTCCGCTGAAGCGCTGAGGTTAATGGCAAAAACGTGATCTCTACAAAGACACACACAGAGAGAGAGAGAGAGAGATAAAGAAATGCCAATATTCTCATCAAGTGTTTAAGCAACTGAGATTCTTTTTGCCATTTCTTTCAATAAGTAACAATACAGTGCCAATAACACCTTGAGCTGAATTGAAGAGGGCAGAGGGTGAAAGAGGTGTCAGAGAGCGAGCGAACATCCATCTGTCTGCAATCTAGGTCTGAATGAGACTGATTGGCCCAATCACACGACCCTTATCATTAGTGTGTGGGTCTTATCGCTGCAGGCGTCGGGAGAAACCGCACTAGTGTGTGCGGATCCCGAGGTCTGGAATTCCCAGTCGATGTTGCATCTTTTGAAATGTGTGTGCAGCTGTGGTGTTGTGTGCAGTGTGAGGAAGTGATTGAACTGACACGACATACCTTGCAGCAATGTAGACCATGTGGTTAATCCGCAGCATCCTCTGAAAATCCAGCCCCAGTCTGGCGGTGTCGTTATCTGACACGTTCCCCTGGAAACTGGGGTACAGGTAGGTGTCTTCAAGATAGGGAAGAGAAAAGACTGAGTTAAAATCAACTAGAAATTGTCACGGTCTACCATCTTGGTGGCAGAGCAGCACATGAAGGATTATTCTTATTTTCACATCAACTTTTTCAAATGAAGTGTAACTTGTAAACAGTGCGCAATATTAACTCCTCTTGTATAGTCTTTAAGTAAGTCTTTTCACAAAAATTTCAGAAGCAACAATATAAATATTCACATTCCTCCCCCTCGTCAAATAGATGAGGAAAAACATCCTTGAAAGAATATAAATTTACATCAGAAACTAAATTCATCAATAAATAATGTGTAATATATAAGATTAATTTATATCCATCAAGAGGTGCATACATTTTTGGTCAAGATCTTGTATAGACAATCCCAAAGACTTTCAATGAATTAAAGGTCTGCCAATTCATGTGTGAAAATGATTCTTCATGCTCCCATGATTCGTCATGCTCCCTTCCCAACCATTCTTTCCCAATTTGATCCTGATGAATCTTGACATTGTAATCCTGGAATATGACCATGATGTCTCTTCCTACATGGTTGTTTAAGAAATGAAAAGCTACACACTCCATCAATTAGGGTTAGAAGAACTGTTGCCAAACATTTGTCGAACATACTAGAAACATAATAATCATTGCAATAATGTCTTAAGCATTTGCCTATTTAAATCCAAACAGCGGAAAAAAATTTGGCCCTCCCACACCAAATAGTGACTCATATCACAGATCTCATTTTGATGTGAGCAATTATGATGTGTAAGTGTCTTTACACTCAGAAATATAATTTGCTAATTAATCTCATTTACACTTAAAAAGATTGTTTTTAACACAGTGTCAAAGATGAGTCACAAGTCACTTTGGCATGCTCTACTTTCAGAGGCCGAGTGGGTTACACAACATTTTCAGACCCACAGAGACGTCCGCAATGACCTGCAGGGACCTTTAATTTGCAGGTCTGCTTGAAAACTGTGCACTGCACCAAAGTAGCAGACACAGGGTGGCAAACATGACCTTGGGGTGGAAAGAAAATCTGGACTTTTTAATGATTCCTGTTACTACAGCTACTCAGCGATTATAAAACTGGTTATTGTTAAGAGTTTCTCCTGAGCTTGGCAGACCACAGGTGGCCGCAGCAGGAACCAAAGCTCGCTCTGATGTTCAGGAGCTACAGTAAACAAACATGCAAGGGTTAAATTAGAGCAGAAACTTCACTCTTTTCTCAAAGACACTGACTGGGTAAACACCATCATCTGATCTCGGCAGGATCATCCCTCAATAAAGATCACCCAGAGTGTCTGCATCTCAACATAGAGGCAGAGCCAATGAACCAGTGATGTGAGAAAGAAACTGCAACTGAAAATCACTGCATGAGAATAAATATTCTAGAATTCTCAGCTTCATTCTTCAAAGCAATTTAAGATTATTCAACCAAACTAAAGTTCTAACTTTTAAAGGATGGGGTCTAAACTTGGACTTTAAAATGCTAAGCATATCTTATGCTTACCAACTTTGTAAACGGTTACAAAGAAAAACTGAGCATCTTACACTAATCAACCGAGGATCACACACTACCACACTTTCAAGTTGTTCTGACACAACAAACACCCGCAGAAACATACTTGCTAGGAGATGCATGACAAATGAAAGGAATGTGTTCTAAAATCACCTCAAAATATCAAATACGTTTGATACAGTACATCATACACTACACTTTTTGGGCGGGAGAAATCTGTCAACTCTAACTGCCCAAACTCTGCAGACTGGCTCTGACTTTCTGACTTTCAACAACTAGCATCAACTCCACCCAACTACAAATTGGAACAAATATCTGGAGAGTGTAGTGTATTCCAGCCTTATGGCAACATTCACACATCCAGTGAATGGGATTAAAGGTATTTACTAACAGGTCTAATATATATTTTCAATCTGCTAAAGCCGGGGACACACTTAATGACTGTAAGGCCGATTATGAATGTAATTTGATACTTATGACTGATCATACCCAAACGCGCAGAGTCAGAGACAGTTGTGTTCAGTCAGTGTTCACAGTCAGTGTTTAAAATCTGCTCCAGTCATTGGAAACAGTCTGAAAGTGTGTTCAGTTCAGTCTTAGAATGTTTCAGCTAGTCGTTAAGTGTTTCCCCAGTTTAAGTCTCACATACTGTCTGGATGAACAAATAACCAAAGTTTCTATTCTCGCAATAGCAGTGAATAACACTAAATGTCCTATCAACATTAGAGGCCCATATCGATGGATCAAAAATAAAAACAGACATACAAATAATATTTCCAAGTTATGGCTGATATAGCTATCAAAGTGAAGGTGGCCATTGACTTGAATTAAATGAATTACCAAAGACCACAGTTTCAGCAACAAAAAAAAAGAAAAGAAAAAGAAAATCATCTTTACTGTTCTTCATTAATCTTCCGTAACTGGCCTGGCTGTGGGTGAGTAAAATAACAGCAAATTTTCATTCTTGGGTGAACTATCCGTTTAAGTACATATCAAAGATGATCACACTGCATGACATGAGAAACAACTGGTCCAGTGTGGTTCTAATCATATAGCATGGATTTGATAAACTGTGATAAACAGTGTAATCAACAAAGATGCCATTTTATGTTAAAAAATCTTTTGTTAAGATGCAACTTCTTTTACCCATAATGTGTGGGCTGGACCAAGACTGCAGGGCTATGGGGGAGAGAGACAGACTATCAAAAGTATCATATGCACCAACTGCAATAACTAGTTTTACAATTCGCTTCTGAGCAATGACAATTACATTCAACAATTAAATTTACTCCTGAAAATTAAGATGACAATTGCTATTAAATTATACATAAAAAGTGTCATGTGTAAAGAAGCAAACTGAGCAACTAGTTAATGCAGTGAGGCCACTCGCTGACAGCTCCTCAGAGCTGATGTGCTAGAAAATCACAGAAATTGAGGTACCTGTCTTGACTCATTTGCATATTTTGATATGGTCTCTCTGCACTAGTTGCTCCCACCAGCCCTCTGCTCCACAAGAAACCCATATATTACAGTCCAAACACGTTGTTTCAAACAATCATCTTAACAAGAATAAACAAAACACTGGTTGTTAGAGTTGGTTGCATATTGTGGTTTTCACTCCCCTAAATTAATTTTATGTGAACAGAACAGGATTTTTCAGAAGAGGAGTGACAACCGTATTTAGCTACAGGGTGAATATAGTCGCACTCATCTAATGGGTTTAAAGGTTACAATGTGTAAAGGCTCTAGCACAAAGCAAAGTCTCAGCATGTGTAAAACCACACACACAGGTGGAAATGGTTGATAAATGGGTCTCATTACTTGTGTGATGTTCTTTTTGGAGAGCTCTATTAGCCCAGCTATCTGTACACCAATGGGCCTAAGGCTCAGTATATGTTTTTCAATTCAAGTCTGCATGGAGCACAACCCTGCCACTAAGCCATGCTTCCAACTTATTCAATGTAAAAAAATAAAAATTTTTGGTTTCCTTATGAATTATGAAGAATATTGTGCTGGATGGTACAGACTGTATAAAAATGGATTGTCCGCAAAATATAAACATAAAACAGTAAACACTTCTATCACACCTCATTTGCAATTGAGTCGGTCTCTCCACACCCTACTGTTTGCTACACAGTCAAGACTGAGGAGTTTTTATTTGCCAATTAGTAACAACTTCACAGCAGCTCCGAGTGAAGCCAGTCTCTCAGACCCAATATGTTTGGAAGCTGGGGAGTAGCATGGGGTGGAAAACCGGGATGGGGTAGATTAGGGCTGGGAACGGGAAGGTGGAGTGAGGATGGACTTGGCAGCCATGGCAGCTGATATATTTATTTGGCGTGTGAAATGCTTTGCGTCTGCCAAGATCTGATTGCTTGGCAGGCGGTTTACTTTTAAACTCTGGGTACGGTTTAATGCGTCTATTGCTATATATCATGCAAGATAAAGCATTTATAATTCCAAATGTCATGATTGAATTATAAAGATATGAAAAAAATTTGATTTGTACAACTCTTTGTATGCCTGAAGTTAAAAACAGATCAGTGAAATAATATCACTTTTATCCCAGGAACTGCAGTGCTAACTGGTGTTTCGGAGTATCATACTTACGTTCACTACCAACAGTGCTGATGGGCTCCAGGTCCTGAGGAAAGGGCGTCGCACCATGGCACAGATGCTTTAGGCAGGTGAGGGTGAGCATGAGGGTCAAGGCCAAGAGGGGCCGCGACCCCAAAATCACCAACCTCATTTCAGCTACAGCATAGAAGTCAGCCACACAGCATGACCCAGTGTAGACTGAACACCACCTGGAAAGACAAGAAAGAGGACGATGACGACAATTGCCGTTTTAAAAATGGTCACTGCAAAGATCGCTTTGTATGCTTCTACCTGACTGAACAACATGTACATGTGGCTGAATGATTGTGAAAGTCATTGGCATGTCATATGACTTCTATAGAACACAAAATGAGAAACTTTCATAATTGCGCTTTTACTGTACATCCATTTACAATGAATGGGGACCAAGGCTTTCAAGCATCAGGAAGTGGCATTAAATGGTTCATTCAACTTCAGAAGACTAATGCAGCACATGATGAGTCACTGTACACTTTTAGGATACTGTCGTGGCTATTTTGCATAATTTTTTTAAGCTTGAAAGCATCGCCATTCAGACTAACTGCCTGGAAAATATATAGCAACTAGCGTAATTTTCTTTTCTGGACAGATGGGTTGTCAACAGGGTGAGTAAATAATGACTGATATTTCACTTTTAACTATCGCTTTAATGCAATTTAATATTCAAGCATCATACGTTCACAAGGAGCTTGATAGTGACAGCATAGGTCTTATTAACATGCCCAACGTAATAATGGAGAAACAGAGCTCGAGAAAGAAAGAGAGATGGATTGAGTGTGCAAAAGCACAATAGGTTATATTATAAGGGCCCCAGCCTGGGGGACACCTGGCTCATTGACTCGAACTGTACAGTCTTTCACAGGTGACTTAACTCAATTAACCGCAAAGGCTGCTGGGATGCCGTCTCAGTCTGTCAGCTTTTACACAAGGCCAGCAGGGATGTATCAAAAACTTACTTTCAGGACAATGGAAAAAGTGAAAATCTCCTGCCAAAGAGTTCTATTGAAAATAGGCTGAATTATTAATGACGGCTTTGAGTGTTTGTATTAGATTCATTATGGACTGAGATACTGACATTAATGAGTTTGGCATCAGGTTATTACACATGATACAATGGCAAAAAGAGAATGGAATGTCCTACAGTACAGTGGTTCTCAACTGGTTTTGCTTTAGGATGCAGATTTTACATTGGAAATCAAGTGTGACCCATTACAAACGTAACGTAAAAAAAAATGTACTTAAAAGCAAATACTGAAATGTATTAATTCATATAACCACAAACACCACTGGTCTAAAAATAAGCAAAATTATTAACAGGACTGTCTAAAGTGACTACGACTATCTCTCTTATATTTTGATTGTTTTTTTCTTTAAAAATTATTATATTTTTCTGAACTTTTAAAGGCCTGAAACCTATTTCTGCCTAAGTTGGCTTTTACCAAGTGACATTATGCACCAATTTGCAGAGCCTCTGACTTCAACATTAAAAGATAAAACATTTTCTCCTCCTTTTAGAAGCAGACAAGTCTGTTTATTTTTCCATCATAATTATGCATGATTAAATGATTTAGTTGCATTTTATTATTTGTTTTTCCCTCCTGACTGCGATCAGAAAAGACCTGTGACTCATTTCTGGTTTGCAACCCATCAGTTTAGAAACACTGCTTTGTGTCTTTTAAATTGTAATGATCAGTCCATATTTTGGATCAGCAACTCAAACAAACATCTCACTTTAGCACTTATGCTATATGAAGCCTGATCAGTATTAATCACCTCATGTGCCCACACAGATACACCCTGGCAGGGCTATATAATGGGACATTATGTCTGATGGATTAGCTATACTTAGAGAACTGAGTACAGGGACAGGGTGGTAAGCTCCTAATGGAGCATACACACACACACACACACACACACACACACACACACACACACACACACACACACACACACACACACACACACACACACACACACACACACACACTCGTCTAGAACTAATACAGCACAAAATGTGAGACATCATCTTCCCCAGACTGAAGCTGAAAGGATCATGGGGTCTTTTTCATATGGACACAAACAAACAAGACATCATGATAAGATAAGCACAAACTATACCATCCGGATGTCTTATGACTGCAAAACCAAAGCCAAAAGCTGTTTTGCTTTTCAAGGAATCGATGATGGGGAGATCATGTGAAAACTGATGAATACAAGAGCAGAGGGAAAAGAAAAAGAAGAGGGAAAGAGTATATCTTTTTGCTTAACAAATTATGTCCAAATCCATCCCACCCCCTAATTATGGATTAACTGCTGAAAAGAAAGTCAGATTGCATAGAAAAGTACCAGCACACCTCACCTAAACAAGCCGCATGATTTGATACATCATTCATGCCGTCGCATGGTGTGAGACAAATTACACAACAAAGTTTAATACTGTTGTAATGAAATGTGATGTCTAAGTATAACAGATTGAAAAACAAATTTAGGGAGTGGACTTGCTTATATCCATCGGTTGTTGATTAGAGGCAGATCACAGTTGCCAACTCTCGCGAGACAAATAAGCAACTGTAGCTTCAAAAACAAGCCCAAAACAAGCCCAATATTATTAGATTATATAGTTTCAGCATTATCATTTATTTTTTATTACCAATAAATGAGCCTGCAACATATTAAACTGAAACCACTCCTTTATTAGAAAAGGATAAACGGATTAGGAGAAAAAAGATTTAAAAAAGGTTTGGAGAGATGGAAAAGGACAAAAAGACAATCAGGAAAAGACGGGGATATGTAACACACACACATTATATATAAACAAAATCTTAATAAAATAAATTTGACCCCTATGTATCTTATGTTAGTATAGACTAGTTTTTTTATTTTTTTATTAAAGCCTGTGATAATTAATATATTACAAAAACATTGTAAAAATTACAAATTTACATTACAAAAGAAGGTCATCCCTCTTCTCCCCTGCACTGTCCATCATCTCCCCAACGTCTATCATTGGATTACAGCGTCGCGCGCGCGGCTGCCTGCACGTTGGACGGGATTTTTCTCCAATAAGGGGGCGGATTCGGCGGAATGTTTTGACGAATTACGCCACAGCACTTATAAAATTGCACTGATTGGCTATGGCTGTGAGCAGACAGTGTCAATCAATGTATTGGAGATTGAGAAAACGGCAACCGTGACCATAGATGTAAAGAAAACAAAGTTGCTTGTCAGATTTTCCTAACAAGCAACCATATTTTTTGAATAAGCCCAAAAAAACGCAACCCGCAACCCGTGCTTTTTTAACGCGACTTACAAAAAAAAAAAAAACCCAAAGTCGCGTATTATAAGCGGACTTGGCAACTATGAGGCAGATCTGAACGCAAGCTTGCAGTGATTGTAAGAAAGGGGCGGGGTTTACGCAGACTAAATGATTGGAGAAGTCCTGCATACATCACCAGAGAGTCTGTTGTTTTAGGATATCGAGTTTTGACATTTTGATAAATGAAAGTTTACAGCATAAAAAAAATGCATGAGTGAACTTAACAATAAGATCAATAACATGGATACAAAAAAAGGATACTTTTTTATTTCATGTCGACAAAGATATATATAAAAGCAAAGATATTAAAACACCTCAAAGGAATTAGGTCAAATTAAATCAAAGTCTCATCCTTATATTTTTTTTCTTTTAAGATGTCCCTTTCACTCAAGGCGAAGCACTCTTTAGAGAACCAAAGTTTGAGACCTCAGTGGCGTTGAGCAGATAAGACAAGGCAGCTCATTTCTCCAAGTTGCTCTCTCTGCTGCCATTAATATATGCTGCAAATGGCATCTCAATCAGTACTCAAGGCTGATGTGAACACTGATAGGGCTGGGAAACCAGTGAACGTGTCCCTCAATTAATTAAATGACCTAAATGGATTTGGACTTAATTACTTCCCCTCAGCTCACTCTCTCTGTCTCTGTAAAGCTCTGCAAATCACAGCCAGGCTAAAACAAATGCAGGTTCCAACAACGGTTTACAAGACTTGGCACAGTGATTCTCAAAGTCGGCAGAGATGTTTTCAGCCAAGTTTCAAGGCAGAATCACGAGTATCATTCACAGAGGAGCAATCACCCCATTATGTAAAACTTCTGCTATTTGGTTGACCGTATACTAAATGCTAATCAATAACATTGACATTTATGGTATGCCAGCCTGGCATTTGCTAAAGGATCTTCAGCCACAGAGAGCAGTAGTTGGGTAGATAATCTCTCAATTAATTCTCTTTGCAAACATATATAACGCACCCTAACCATAATCCTCAACCAAAGACACTGCTCTATAGTTCAATATCAGAACAGATACTTGATGGTTTACAAAGTCAAGTTGCACATTGAGCTACATTAAAATATCAGGATACTTTGGTAGGCTTTAAAGTATAATTTCAAAAATCTATTAATTGCAAGGATTGGTACACAGTTGAGTATAAAAGCCAAATCCGTTTAAAATCATACTATGTGATCGCAATATTTTACTGATTAATGGTGCAGCTCTATACCAACCCCAAATGTTTGAATGGTAGAGCATACATAACCCTATATGTTCCACAGAAGAAAGTTAAAAATTTCTAAAGACATGAGGGTTCATTATTTGACAAAAACTTACATTTTTCGGTTAACTATCCCTTTAAATCAGACCAAATCACACAGCTCTCCTACATAGACCACATACCAAAATATATTATTATTTTGTGTAAAAAAATAAAAAAAATAAAAATACAACCATACAAACCCATACAGAGTCCACAAAGTAGTTTGCCCCCCTTTTCTAGGCAGGTGGCAAACAGAAATGTGTGTGCGTGTTTGCAAACTGTTCGCATCTCTCTTGCTCTTCTAATCAGTGTGCATTCATGTGGCGTTCGAAGAGACGCAAGGCACTGATGAGCAGACAGCTGTCGATATCTGACTAAACCCCTGCTTATCCTTTGCTTCCTCCACGGGGTCAGCGCTGGCTCTCTGTTGGCTCGATGTGGGAAGGGAGCCGGGCCCCATTGCGGGTCCTTGGTAAATGAGGCAGAGCTGTTGCGGTGGCGGGGAGGAAAAAGGCCACACTGAAGTTTGAGGAGGAGAAATCTCTTGAGCCCAGGATTGATTATCCGACATTCATTTGGATTTACCAACAGCTCCTTGG